GCCTCCTGCACCCCCACACTGGGGATTAAGCCTGCAACCTGGGCACGTACCCTGACTGGGAATCAAACCGTGACCTCATGGTTCATAGGTTGATGCTCAACCACTGAGCAATGCTGGCTGGGCAAAGCTTCTTTATTTTTTGATCTAATGATATAGATCTACTGCTTCCCTAGTCACTAGGCTCTGTTCTAGTGCTATTAGAAATACTAATTCATTTGTTCCTCAAAAGAAATTTATAAAGTGAACATTGCTATTTGCATTTTAGAGAAGAGAGACCTGAGGCACAGAGAGGTTAAGTAAATTGCCCAGGTTAGCAAAGACAGGAGCAAATGCAGAACCCTGGCTCCTGGACTAGCCCTCTTAGCTACAACACTGTTTCTTGTGCTCGGCTCCCTTGCTGCTCACTGTTGAGAAGAGTCAGTACAGCTATACATGCAGTGTGTGTAGATGGTGCCAGGCATGTGTGGGCACTCAGGAAATTTGAGGCATAAGTCTCTTTTTTTTAAGTTCAAGCATCAGCACCCTTCTTTATCAGGCCTGTCCTGATCCACTGTCCAGCCATCAGGAACCCACTGTGTAGCAGGTATGGGTCCTTGGTGGGTGTCTCCCTTCTCAGGGACAATCATTGGCTATAGGATAGTGAGTGGAGGAATAACACCTCTTTCACAGCAAAGGAGAAGTGCTGCTTTAGTCCTATCTAGTGATGTGTTTGTTGTGATTTATGTTCTTTGATATTTTTAATAAAACTTGGAATGATAGTACATTTCTTTCCAGAATAAATGTATTGGTATTTATTATAAGTTTATATCTTATATCAATGATCTGATCAACTGTGGTATTCTGAGTGATTTCCATATGGTATTGAATTTCAAAAGTTCTTAAATGTCATTAATGTTTCATTTCATATGAATTAAAAATTATTAAGAAATATTGTTAATTTGTAAAATTCTTTAAAGAGGTGATTTCTTATAGCTTCTCTGATGAAAAACTAATTCTGTACTACTTATTCAAAATGGCAGATGGTCTAGGAAGTGATAAATGAAAAACACATTTTGGAGCAAGTCAGCAAGAGAGGTCATATAATTTTATTGTAGTCCGTCTTTCACGCAAAGTTGTTTGAGTCTCCCTTGCATTGGAGAGAATAGACTCAGGCAGAGGTGAAATATGCTGAAACGATGGCCTCCTCTTTTTTTCTCCTCATAAAATTTGACAGCTGAGTTCTGAATAGTGGGGGAAACTGCTTCTTGAGTGTCAAAAGGTCTAGATTAGAGTCTTAGCTCTACAAACTAATAACAAGATAGCAGGTTTAAGAGCACTGATCCACTCATTATAAAGTGAAGAGTCAACACAGAGCTCCCTTTGCTCAGTTTCACAACATATAGTGATGGTTTTAATACTCATGAACTTATTTTAATGTGCCTTGGGAGAAAATGCTAGAATTTGCTTCTCAACCCTGTAGTATAAGATTTCCATACTGATTACAATTTTAAGAGAAAACACCAATGTAAAAAAATACTAAAAGCCCTGTCCAGTATGTCTCAGTTGGTTGAGCATTGTTCCATGCAACCAAGAGGTCCCCAGTTAGATTCCTGGTCAGGGCACATGGCCAGGTTGTGGGTTCAATCCCCAGTAGGAGGCGTGCAGGAGGCAGCCAATGGATGTTTCTCTCTCGTTGGTGTTTCCATCTCTCTCTCCCTTCCTCTCTCTCTAAAAGCAATTAACATATTTTTATAGAGAAAATACTGAAAGACATATAGTATGTGATCTTCCAGTACAACAGAAATCTGACAGTGCAAATGCTGAAACTGGATGGTGTCTCAGTTTATACGCAACCCTCGTACTACGTGAGACAAGGATATCACCAGAAACTGAGCTCCTGTACAGTGGTGGCAGCAAATTGAAGTGTGTGTGTGTGTGTGTGTGTGTGTGTGTGTGTGTACACGTGTCCATGTGCGCACAGTGGAAAAGAACTCGACCACAAATGCACAGAGGTGATATAACATACTTTCTTTTTTGTTTTGTTTATATTTGTGTGTTTGTTGTAAGAATTCAGCCTCTGGAACCAAACAGATATATCTGAATTATAATTTGAAGTTCTGATATTTATTAGCTACAGATGCTTACATTTTATTAGATTCGGTTATCTCACCTACTTATTTGGGAAATATATATCTATATATTTTAATTTTCTGTGAATTATAAGTGAGTTAAATGCAAGTAAAATGCTTACCAGAGTGATTGCCCTAGAAAGCTTAGAACAGTGTATCTATAAATACTTGCATATACAGAGACCATGAAATTAGATTCGTCTCTAGAGTGAGCCTTTGGGCTATTATTTTTTTTTAATAACATGCAGATGAAGAAAAATTCAAAGAAGTAGCATATTTTATTTTGAGCAATTAGATAATTCTTTCCCCCATTGAAGAATGGGCTTCATTATATTTGCGGCCCATTCCTATTACAGACTGCTGAAGCTTGCCGCTGGATGATTATTAACATGAAAAGTTCAAAATAATAATTGGAACTAAAATGAATAGAAATCACAGTTCAGGCTCAGATGTGGCAGTGGCTGCTATCAACAGGCTGCTTTTTATCTTCAGTCCAGTGTCTCTAGTAATTAAGTTTCCTGGAGAAAATAAAGTAACCTTTTTATTTTAATCTGATTGGAATAATAGATATTTTGCCATGAACAATTAAGCTGATGATCTTCTTTCATAAATTAATTTTGTGAAGAAAAGATTTTCACAGGGATTTTTAGAAAGGCTTTCTGGTCTACCATATAGGATGGGACACTCTGTCAGCTAAAGACATCTTACAGGTGACTTCCTCTGATGTGTAATTATTTAGAATTAATTTTGTGATATGAACATTTGTAAGATTCATGTACTTGAGATCCTGACCCAAAATTGCATTTTAAAGCAGGGTTTATCACATTGTAAAGGCAAAAACAAAAGCCAGAATCAAAACCAGGCTCTTTTATGGTTAATCCATGCTAAACCCAGTTTTGTACTTGAGAGAAAAACATTATGGTAAAGATACAGGCCAACTACTTGAGAAGGAAGTTTTTCAGTAAACATTACTATTACTTGTCAGACAGCTAACTGATTTTAATTTAATTTTATTTTTAACCGCTCTATTGATTTTCAGAGAGAGAGAGAGAAAAAAACCCCCACTTATTTATTGATTTACTTATTTATGCATTCATTGGCTAATTCTTGTATGTGCCCTGACTAGGGATCGAACCTGCAACCTTGGTGTATCTGGTTGACACTCTAAGCACTTGAGCTATTGAGCCAGGGCCTGATTTTAATTTTAGAATAAGGTTTTACATTTGCATAGTAATTTCAGCACAAAAATTTTATATTTATCTGTGTATATGTATTATACATATTTTATAGTTTAGAAGTCATTTACTATAAGTTACTTTAGAGCAAGGAATTTTAATTTTCTCTGTTGAAATAAAATGTGCTCAAATATGTAATACTGAATTAAAATTTGAACATCTAAAATGAATACCTGAGAGGTGATTTTTGAAATGATATTTACCAGTATAATTTGTAATGATATTTACCAGTAAATACTACCTACATGTGACTATCTTCTAAGTTTCAAAAGGCCTTAATGTTTTTCTTTAAAGTAGCATTCCTGTTTGATAGTATAAAGCCACCACTGGTTTATGCTTTTTCTGTAAAGGACCACACAGTAAATAGTTAAGGCATTGCCAGGGAAACAGTCTCTGTAGCTGCTGTTTGTTTTACTCTGTCTTTGGCAATGTGTAAACAAGTGAGCGTGCCTGTAGTCCAATAAAACTTTATATGGACACTGAAATCTGAATTTTATATAATTTTTGCATATAAATTAACATTTTTCTTTTATTTATTTTTAATTATTAAAAACGTGAGAATATTTTTAGTTACCAGGCTGCACCAAAATGGACCGCAGCAGCCTGCCTTTGGTCTGTAAGCTTTGGTTTGCAGACCTCAGACCAGAGCCTGGGAGCCGTCATCAGCATTTTATTGATTTACTCTCATTCCATTTTTTGAGGCCTTTACCTGCTAGGCTTATCTTCAAGTTACTTCTACCTGTGGATTCTACATTATTCTACCTGGAGCCGACTAACACAAAATCACTTCCCTTGACAGAGCACAGAACTGTAAAAGGTCAAAGAAAGCCATTCTGACCCTCATAAACTTCTCTGTCTCTTCGTGTTTCTTAAAATCTTTCCAGATATTTATGTTCAGTGGCCATTCTCTATGTGCTTTTTAATTTTCTAATTATTCGTCATAAAATAAACACATTAAACAGAAACTTTATTGCCTGTGTAATGGAGAGCTTGATAGGATTTTTGTTCCCCAAGATCTTTATCCTAAGCATCAATGAAATGTGATTGTTAGGGGTGGGAGTTGTTGATTTGTTTTTTTTATTTTTTATTTATTTAAATATAACCTACTTCATTATAAAGATACCGTATTGGTAAATGATCAGATAATCCTGGTATTGTTTCCCATGCTTATTAGTGGTCAATTAGCACAAATAACTATAAAAATAGTTAATTTCTATCAACTGTACTTTCCATATGTTCTTATTGAGAAAAATTAATAATGCAAAAACAGTTTATAAAAAGAGAGACATTAGACAAATGTCATAAATCCATTTTATGATGGTAGAGGCTAGTAAAGCTAACCAGAAAATAAGTTATTAAATTAAAATGATTCATCATTACCTTCCAAACAACTTTATTTACTTCATTCATTTTCCCAAGTACCACAATAGCACATTAATATTATCTCCTTAGATTGGATTACATTATTCCTTACTTGGTTCAATGCAGAATAAAACACGATGTTAAGTAAACATGCAATATCAAATTTTTGTGCACCGGGCCTCTAGTTAAGATATAACTAATTTTTACTTATAAAGTTCTAACTGTTGATATTAAATATTGTTTAAAACTGAATAATCTTAAGAAAATAAATTTACTTTTATTTTGTACTTTACAGGTTCTGGGTTGAACGATGGACAGTGGCACGAGGTTCGTTTTCTTGCTAAGGAAAATTTTGCTATTCTCACCATTGATGGAGATGAGGCCTCAGCAGTTCGAACTAACAGTCCTCTTCAAGTTAAAACTGGAGAGAAGTACTTCTTCGGAGGTAAAAGACTGCCATTTTTTAAATCTTTTAACTAATACATTGATAAAAAATAGAGTTTCAATGAAGTTTGATTATAAAGTATTTATATTTGATTCAATGGACACAGTAGATATGGGGAAAATCAGTCATATCCCATTGTGTTAAAATAAGTGGCAAATTTGTTTCTTCATGATGAAGGTACTAAATGACATCAGCATATTATTCTAGTCCAATTCATGTATAAAGCATGAGATTCTGAATCTACTCATTTTCATAATACTATACTCAAAAGTCCTTGAATTCTATATTTGTCACCTATTCCTGTGTTATTACCCCAAAACTTGGTGGCTTACACAGCAAGCATTATCTCACAGTTACTCTAAATGAGGAAGTCAGGGATGGCTTAGCTGGGTTTTCCTGACTCAGGAGGGTCTCTCATGAAGTCATACCCAAGCTATTGAGTGTGGCTACATCATTTGAAGCCTGGATTTGGCTGGATGGTCTGCTTCCAAAAAGGCACACTCGCTTGGTTGACAGTCAGTGCTGGTATTGCCTGGGAGGCCTTAGTTCTCCTTCATGTGGCTCTGATCCTTCAAGAGGCCTCTCCTATAGGTGATTGGACTGAGAGAGAGGGAGCCGGAGAAGGCGGAGAAAGGGAATAGAGGGAAGGAGAGGGGAAAGGAAAGCCATAGCAAGAGAGAGTTTCCAGGATGTAAGCCAAAGTTTTCTTACAATTCATCTTGTAAATGGCATCCCACCAGTTTGGTTATATACAGTTTATTAGAAATGAGTCACTAAATCTAAGCCACACATAAAGGAAGGGATCACACAAGGACACAGGGGTTATTCAGGCCATCTTAGAGACTGCCTGCACACATCTTAGTTCTTAAGTAATGAAAAAATTAATAAGGAGGAGGATTCTCTTAATGATAAATTTTACTACATGTAAGAGAGTGTTGTAGCACAAACTAGAAAGTTTTCTATGTTGAGGAATGCATCCTGGAAGAAAATGATTTTTTTTAATCATTAATGAAATATGGCGACACCCTTTATTAATGTGCTAGGTTTTTTGTCTAGAGCAATATATCCTTTATTAGATTATTGCCTTTCTCATCTTAAATCATGCAATGTGAAATCTAAACAAATACACTGCATCATTAGAAAAGGCCTTGGTTTAAACTTTAAAGATATATGTGCACATATATTTGCCTCTAAAATATAGCTATTAATATTCACATATATATTTATCTGCTTATATAAAATAAGTTTCATAGATCATTATATGTATCCATTTTTTTCTGATTATTAGAATCAGTCTACTTTAGAGCAGCCATCTCATACAGGGGTGGGCAAAAGCAGGTTTATAGTTCGCTGTGAGTATGTGAAACAGAGCTTATTTTTATATTATTATTTATCAATCATTGTTATTATTTATTTGTATTACAACTATAAACCTACTTTTAACACCCCTGTGTGTCTTGTTCCCAATTGAATCACCAAGGTTCTACAAAAATTCCTGGAATATAGTAGATGATGAATAAATAATTACGAATGAATTAGTAAGTTCTGAAAAATAGGCGACACCAGCATTTTATTCCCTGTTATCTAAAAGAAGAAACAGGAGCCCCAGGAGCTTTACTGACTTGCCACTGAGTTTGTAGCCAGTGCCTGGACTCGAGATCTCTGACTCCTGTCCCAGGGAGTGTCTCCCTCTGTGTCATGGTTTGATGATGAGTGACAACTCGGAGACAGAAGTCCTGACCTAGACCTCTGCATCTGTAATCTTTCATGGCATTTATTAGGAATTAAAACTACCGAAGTTTCAAAAGGCTCATAATAAATAGTTGATGAGTGGATGAAAGTCAGCCATCTTATTGATGTGAGAAAAAGCAGCCCAATAGCCCAATAGCCCAACTGGTTTTCCTCCAAAGAGATATTTGATATGATGGGCTTTTGGCCAACAGTTGTTATTGTTGTCATAGAAAATGGATCACTGTAGTCCGTTGGAAAGCTGTTGATAATTCCTACCCATCCAAGTGACAGTGGAATGTCTTTGGCCATGGATGAGCTTGCTGAATGTCTAAGGCCTGTTGTGATCTATTTCCATCTAGATGGGTAAGCAAACAGCTGTAACCACAAATTTATGGCACAGAGCTTATCGGAGATGAGGGCTTTATAGATTGCCACTTACTTCACCAATTTTGGTTTTCAAACCGAGCAGTCTGCAGCATGTTTCTTCTCTCTTGGGTTGCTGATCTTCCATTGAGAAAAGCTGTCAGCAAATGGTCTTGATGCTCCCTTGATTATATCTTCATTAGCTGAGTCCGCAGGGTGTGTAAAAATCACTAGGGGAACTCCTCACAATTCAAGTTCTCAGGTTCTGCCCCTAGAACATGAAAATGCAAGATGCTGAGAAAGTAAAGAATTCTAAACCTCAAGTGATTCTGACACCACTGGTCTAAGGAAGAGAATTGTAGATGGACCTCAGCCAAGTTGGATGCACATTGTTTTAGATTATTTTTGAAAGACAACATCAACCACTGAAAGTGAGATAAGTAAGACATAGCTACTTTTCAAATAGCTTTGGCACCTTGAAACAGTGAAATAAAGTCAGAGTCCAAGGTCTAGTGCACAGGTAGATTTTTGTTAAATGAATAATTGTAGCAAGTTGGCACAGCACTGTTGATGCACATGCTTCTATAAGCTCAATGAAGTCCTAGCTCTCTGACTTGCTCTACCTTGAATAACATGTTCTCTTTGGGCAGCTGTAGCATAGTTCTGGAAGCAGGATTTAGCTACACTCAGAGTCAGGCCACAGCAAGCCTCCTAAGCTAGTGGCTGGCACAGGATCACTAAGTGATCCAGACTCTAGAGCAGTGGTTCTCAACCTTCCTAATGCCGCGACCCTTTAATACAGTTCTTCATGTTGTGGTGACCCCCAATTTCATTGTTACAAATTGAACATAATTAAAGCATAGTGATTAATCACAAAAACAATATGTAATTATATATGTGTTTTCCGATGGTCTTAGGCGACCCCTGTGAAAGGGTCGTTCGACCCCCAAAGGGGTCACGACCCACAGGTAGAGAACCGCTGCTCTAGAGCCTTCTCCTGTGCTCAGGTCACAGGCCTCCCTGGGGTCATACGTCATCTTACAGGCTGCAGGTGTCTTGAAAAGATGTTTTGCCAAACTACATATCCTCAATACCTTTCATTTCACCACTGAGACCTCTTTTCCAATGTCATCTAACATTTTTGCTGATTATCAAACCACTAATTTCACCAAAGAAAACCCAACCTGGCATTCAGTGAGCTGCTTGGAGGAAGAGAGCAGAAATCCTGGTTTCTGAAACAATGCTCAGGACTACCTCTGGCACCTGTCTTCCAGATTAGAACACTGGCTGCCTCTGGGCTGTAACTTGAAACACACACAACCACACAAGTTCATACCGTGTATGCTGAAAATGTTAAAAAAAAGTCACATGTTCTAATGAAAGCATCTTCGGAAACATTAGTATAGGGGGAAGAAATATCGACTTTGTTCCAAAAAAAATAAATGAGCTTTGAATCATGCACACTTGATTTTGGATCCTGGCTTCACTTTAGTTGATAGATAACTTTAATAATTTGTTCTACTTTCTTCATCTATTACAAGGCAGTGGAATCTGCTTTGTGACATTGCACAGCATGACCTGTTAAACCCAGGGCCTGGCCCTAGGGATGCTAAATAATGACTGCCTTTCCAATTTATCTGGAGACTTTAACTCACAAAGAGACAACACTTCCCCACCCCCAGGGAAGATTCCAGATTTCACACCCTGTGCTTATCCAAAGCCTCTCACCAACTTCTCCACTACTCAAAGCGTTTCCTCATTAGACACAAATTGTTTTCCTGCTAGCTGAAAATTTTATGTAAAGGTCTCCTGCCCTCACGTATGTGGTGACAGAGGCTAAAACATGTCCCTGCTTTGTTTGTTTTGAATTTAAGTCCTAGTCATGCAGCTGCTTTTGCATGGACTGCCCCGCTGTTTCACACCCCTGTGAGGTTTTATCTCCTGTGCCTGCTCCTCGATAATCCCAGAGAAGATCTTGGTTCTCCTCAGTAACACTGATGATCAGATATTTCAGCACAAAGAGTTTTTTGCCTTGTTCTTTCCTGGGAATAAACAGAAAAAGAAAGTTTAAGGTAGGATATTTCTTCAGCAAAAGATAGTTTAGCTGCTTTAACTCTTCCTCTACCGCTCACCTGGAATTCCTTTTGTTAACACTTTATTAACTTTAATAATCAAATAATAATAGAATAATTTATGTATTAACTGCTTGCTTGGTAATAAGCTTTCTGATCTTGGCCTGGGGCCATGGTAATAGGAGAGTGGAAAGATTTTTAAATTTCTAAATTGTCTTAGGATTGGCATTTTTTATTATCCCTGTTTTTTTCATTTAAAAAGAGAAGAGGAGAGGTAAAAAGTTCCAGAGCCAGTCTTATTGGAAGGGAGTTGTAAGAAACACAGTGGGAGGTGGCAGCTCTGAAGAAAGAGCCAATCCTTGCCCAGCCAGGCTGGCTCAGTGGTTGAGCATTGACCTATAAACCAGGAGGACACGGTTCAATTCCCAGTGAGGGCATATGCCTGGGTTGTGGGCTCAATCCCCAGTGTGGGGCATGCAGGGTGCAGCCAATCAATGATTCTCTCTCATCATTGATGTTTCTCTCTCCCTCTCCCTTCCTCTCTGAAATCAATAAAGATATATTTAAAAAATTAAAAGATCACATCCCTTTCCAGTTACACATCTAAACTCACCAGTGCAGAGCCCTTTAATCCCACTGAATACAGTTAGTAGTTACATGTACAAGAGGCCAGAGGATTTCTTATCCCCACCTGGACTGTCAGTTTCTGCCACACAGGCCTCCCCCCAATAAATATTAGGTAAGAGACACTGATTGTGCTGGCCTAGAACAGCTGATCATATCAAAATCAGGGATAAGATTCCATTATGATGGCAGATATAACTTTTCAGGATC